TGTTTTGGAATTTTAAATGTTTCTTCCTTTCTGAAGTTTTTGTCTATTGTTTTGGAATTTTAAATGTTTTTTTCTTTTTTCAAGTTTTTGGCTGTTGTTTTGGATTGTTTTGGTTTTGATTTCACTTTTTTGAACTTTTCGGATGTACGTTTTCAAATATTTTGGGCACATTTTGGACATCTTTCAGCTCTTTTTCGGACAGTTTTCGATGAATAAATTTTGAGATACTTTTATTGGATTTCTTGGACCATTTCTGATGCTTTTTGAAGTGTGTTTTGAATAAATTTTTTTCTCTCTTGTCTGTGTTTTGCATGTTAAAAAGGATAAGCACTGAAAGCAGATGATATTTGTGGGTTGTTTGAGGGCGGCAGTCTCAGAGCAGTTCGCGGCTCTAGTGGATGTGGATAAAGTGTTGTGTGCAGGTCGCCAGTAGAAGCTGAACGGAACTTGGCAGTTATGATGTCGGGCGGCCGCGTATGCTTGATCTGAGAGTTGGTTCCGGATGTATAACTCGCAGAATCTCTTCAGGATGGCCATATTTCTGAGGTTAACGACTGTAAGGTGTTGTAGTTGCCGACGGTATAGTAGAAACAGAACGAGTCAAGTTTTTATTGAGACGTTTAGTAGTTTTGCAGAGTTTTTTCACGTGTAACCACCTTATTAATCCCGTAGTGCTTGAATATAAATGGAAAGAGGTTGGACATTAGTTCAGTATATTGATCCAATGCGACGTAAATTAACATATGAGCCTTAAGCAACAGGGTTTCGTATCTGGCGGAGTTATACAAGTGGAACTGTAAACAACAGAAATACAGTTTTTGATTCAGTATAAATTTTTTCGTTGCAAGCTGCCGTTTTGTAAAGAATGAAGCAATGTTTGGAGCAAGCTTATTAATGCGGAAGTCACTAGCTCAAGTAAACATTTTACGGCACACATTCGTAATGTGGCGTGCATGCTTGTTTCTGTAAAAATGCCCAGGATTCGGTGAATACGAGTTGCTGGTCAAATGTGTTACTCTTGTAGTAGTGTTGTGTAGAGTATCTGCAAACTGGCCCATGTTTCGTCTGTTCTTAACTGTTTTTTAAATCCTTTGATCCACGCCTCATTTGGAAACTTCTATTCCTGAAAGAAGTGTTGTAATTTGCTATGTTAGGAGGAATTCGGAAAGGACTAAACGAGTTCTTAATAATTGCTAGAGAAACAGTCGCGCGAAACTTCTCAGCCATCAGTCGTGGAACTCTTGTAGCATTCGTTCAGTGTTTTAAATTCGTTCCTTCTAGCGTTGGTCATTAGAAGTTTTTGTGAAAGACTTCTTTTCTTTCGTGGACAGTTTCTAGCAAGATTTTGGAAATTTCGCGAAGTGTCGCAAAACCTTTCGTCGGAAACTTCATGAGACAGTTGCAATGACTGATAGGTAAAGAAGGCAGTATGTAGTGAAGCATGAGTAGAGCAGGATAAGCTGACATTGTCCAGAAAGTCCCCGTGCTCTACAAAATATTGTGCGGCCTCTCCAACTCTATTTCTTTTTTGCGGTGCATGCTTTGCTAGCGCTACTTAGATGCTGTCCATTCCACTTTTCTACAAGTTCGATCCGACAGATGCATTTCTTTTCCGGCTTCTAGCTGTGCTAAAATTGCTTTTTTGCATGTCAGTTGATTATTTAATTCTTAGGAATAGGAGGCGTTAAGTAACAGTGAACCAATTCAGAAATTCTCTTCGCGAAATTTCATATAACCTATTAATTAAGATACTTGTTGTATTAAGCTAACTTGTTTTATTTCGGCTGAGAAAAAACTGCTTATTTTTTCATTCTGCACTTTAAGAAACCCTTTTTAGTAAGAGGTTTCTGAAAAATAAAGAACAAAAATATTTGCACTCTACGAATAAGAAGTTTGTAGGCTTTTTAGGATAGGGCGCTAGAAAAATCGCTCATGGCGTTTGCGCTTTTTGTCTATACTGACTTTCAAGCTCTAAAATCGGCATGGATGGAAAGTGTACGTTGAAGTTGCCGCTAGATGCTGAAAAATAGACAGAGCAGGAGGATGAGGTTATAGAATACCATGATTCAAACCAGTTGTACAGTAAATAAGCACCAGTACAAGTAGCTTTTCGAGCAGGCTAGCCGGCAACCTTTTGTAAATCCGTAACTTGATTTGTTTAACCGTTATGCTTATTTTTTCGCGTGGTGCATTATCAGTTTCCTTTGTTACACCTTCCATGCTTTGTTAATGTTTCTTGTTTAGGCGATAACTGTTTTTTAAAAATTTTGCCGTTTTTTTGTAGTTGTTTTATTTGTAAATGTTTGTAATGTAAAGTGCTGTGTAAAGTGTTATATAATTGTTTTTTACAGTAAATAAATGGTTATACATTTTTGAGGTTCGACCACACAAATCACCGAAAGCATTCAGACAAAGACTTTCAATTATTACTCTGTTAGAGACAAGCTATCGTTTATAGGTGAGATCTGTTTCTATTCATTTGGTGAATTTAAGTTTCATATTTGAAATGATTATGAGATTTATCAATTAAGGTATGATTGTTGGATCGCAAGCAATTGCTGCGCTTTGAGAAACAGCTTTTAGCAGTTTTTCAAAAAATTTGAACATTTTTTATACACTAAACTCAAGTGCATCCTAACCTCTTTTAACAATGCTAAAATAATAATGTTTTCTGAAGCACTTCCCGCATAAAAATGCGTCTTTTCAGGGATATCTTTTAGTGATTTTCGATGAAAGGACCTAAAAGAGCAGTCACTTAGCAAAGAGGAAGTAGCTTCTAGTTGTTATGACTTAAAATACTTAGTTTTAAGGTTTTCTTCACACCCTTTAAGGCTGTAAGACTTTTGCTTTTAAGCCTAGTGTTCTTGATCTATCAAAAAGACTTATAAATGTAGACCTCTGCTTCCTATGACAGGGGCGAATTTATAGCCCAGTAGCTGAGGTACTGGGCCTGCAGTGCTTTGGGTATCAGAATTCTGAAGCATTGCAGGTTACCTGCAAGTTCCAGATCGTAAAATATAGAGAGAGATGATCAAAATCAACACACATTGTTTAATTTTTTTTATTTTTTATTTTTTTTTCACATAAACCATAGCTTTCTTTTTCCAGTTCAGATTCTGTCGAATACTGATTAACGGGTTAATCGACTGGTTGATTTTGATTCTCACCTATTATGGGGCAGCATTATGCGAAATATAGTAAATGCTCTCCGGCGCAAGTAAGCAACGCTGCCCATTACAGATTAAGCAAATATACGTTGGTGGACCTGTTTGGACTTGCGCTGGTTCTTTTGTTACTAGAAATCTCGTGGACCAGCGCTGTTACTGCAGTTCTCCGAAGATCGCTAAGTCTCGACTGCAGGTTTCAGAGCCTCAGTGCGAGCATTTACAGCAGTTCCAAAAAAATTCTAGGTTGTCACCAAATTAACCAAAATTTTACGCTTTTAACTTTGGCAGAATGTGGCGCTACAGTTAAAACAACAAAACATTTCTCGCATTCTGCAAGGCCGCGCTTCAAGTTTAAAACTCCTTCCTGGATGATTGCACTTTTTTCTCGCACTGTGTTTTGTTTTGAAGGTAACAATAACGTTTCACTTCTTTTCTGGTAGAACAAAAAAAAATCACAAAGGAAGAGTCAACGAAAGGATACAACAAACGGTCCTTGAAGAAAAC